ACTAGGTCCCGGCAGGCAGTGGGACAAGCCGTGCCACATGCGATGGTGGGTACCCCCTCTTCTCAAAGAGCAAGCTGCAGTCTCCAGTGCCTGGGAAGTCTCGGGGTCTCTACAGCAAGCCCAGGTAATGCAAAACCCCGCGTGCTGCTGGCCGGGAAGGGGCCGTGCCAGCCCTTGCAGCCATGCACGGGTCTGAAGGAGAGCAATCAGGTGCCTCCGCTGCATCTCAGAGCACCTCTCAGTTTGCCGACCCCAGATTTGACGTTCGAGGGCTGAGCCAAGATCCTGCTACGGGCTGACGCACAGCACCACTCCCCCCGCAGGTACCCGTTACCTGCTGCTTCGTCCACCGAGAGCTCGTTGGCCAAAATGCCCCCGATCTTGCTGAAGGCGGGCAGCTGCAGGCCGTACTTCTCCAGCTCCCGCTTCATGTTGTTGATCTCCTCCTCTGGAGCAGAGCACAGAGGCGTCACCGCTGAGCACCAGCGCCGTGGTCCAGCCCAAACCAGAGGGGCGCAGAAAACACCCGCACTGGGGTAAGCGTCACCGAGGCAGCTTTGGAAAAGCTCGCTCAAGGTCTTCCTTCCCCACATCCCTCCCACCGCAGGGACTCGAGAGCATTCCTGGCAAACCCTCACCGCCGGCCCCCAGCCCAGGTTCCCCCGTGCAGCGCCGTACCCGTGAAGTCCACTTTCCCGTACAAGTCCTGGATCTGAGGAGCCAGCCCCAGCTTGAAGAGGTACAAGCTGAAAGACGAAGCAGACACACACCATGACCGTGCAGTCACTTGCTTCTCCCTCTCAACACCTCTGCAACACCGAAGACTGTCACCCCAACGCAGGAGGTGACACCACCGAAGGGCTCGCGAGCACGAACACGAACCGTGACGACAGTTTTGGCCCCGGGACCAGGCCAGGGACGCCCACCTGAGCGCGTGGATGCAGTAGACCACCCGGGGCATGTTCTTCTTGTCATAGATGTCGGTGGTCTCCGGGTGGAAGATCTGCCGACAAGACAAGAGACAGCTCAGGTGGAGAGGCCACCGAGGTGGTCCACGGGGTGTCCAAGGGTGGGGGGCCAGAGACGAAGCCCCCCTGCAACACCAGCGCGACCCTCAATGAGCCGAGCCGGTGGCGTTGCAGCCCCGGTGCTGCCACAAGAGCAACGGCCAGCGCGTCCCCTGGCCCGGGGAGAGCGGAGGGGGGACAGTACCGAGGGAAGCCCCACGTGGCTCATGGCCTCGCGCCAGTAGTTGATGTTATCCGTGTGCCGAAAGTGAAGCCCGGCTGCCTGGAAGAGAGGGAGCCGGGATCAGGTTGAACCCCACCTTCTCCCATCCTGGGGGTCCCCCTCTCCCCCGAACCCACCCAGCCAGGGCGTGAGGTTAAAGACAGGCAAAGCCTGCGACCCCCCGGGCAGCGCAGCTCAGAGACCCCGCTTGCAGCCCTGCTCTGTTAAATCCTCCCTTAACGATGGCAATCCGTGCGTCCCTCCTCGCTTCGCATTCACCAGCGATGGAAAGGTCCCTGCAAGCTCTGGGGTATGTCCCCCCCGGCACCGCAATCTTACCTTGTACCGCGTCTGCTCGCAGTCGTAGATCTTCTTTAGAGGGACCACGGTGGGGGCAAAGCAGTGGCCCAGCTTGGCCAGGACGACCCCGTTGCGCAGGCTCTCTTCCAGCTCCGTGGGGGGAGGCAGCTCCTCGCTCAGGCAGGCCTCCATCCAGCTGGCAGGGCGGAGACGGGGCACGGCACGTCACGGACCCCCCGGACCCCCA